CTTTAGAGGGCATGAAATATGCAATATGCACAGTACAACACTCAGCACATATCAGGTATTCAAACGTAAGTTCTCTACAAAGAAAGAAGAAAGGTTTCAGCCTTTAATAGACTTTGACTCACTTTTCTTCTTCATGCTGCTCTTGTTTTGATGCCCATCCTGTGCCATCTTTAGGTACAATGTTCACATTAGGATCATTGCCTTTGTTTTCTGCTTTGAGACTTGGGAGGTTAGCAGGTGGAGGCATGCGCCGTGAAATACCAACTTTTCCAAGACTCTGTAATCCATGTCGAGCTGCAACTAAAGATCAATAACATCAACTTTCTTAGAACATCTATTTTATTACCCATTTTATTCTTCAAATGATATAGAAAAACAGTAGGAATTAATGGAATCTTTGAACAATTATTCCTAATAATTTAAGAATTTTCAAATTAAGGTATACACCTCCAACACAATACAATGTAGAAATATTAAGCAACCAGGCCACTGAACAGAAGTTTTAAAAATTCTAACAATGCAACTCAACACACTATGAAAAAGAAAAAGAAAAAAGAAAAATAAAACAATGATAATGCTGGTTTTGAAATTTTTTCAGGGAATCTACTTCAAACTCAAAACTGAGGATGTTGGGAAATAAATATGTTGACTTTATGTTCATAAGGAATAAGACAAATGTACCATACATGGCCCAGTTTTCAGTTTTCACTGTATACACTGAGCTCAAGGTATCTAAGTTAAAATACAAAAACAGAAACCAAAAACCACAGAACTTTCCCTATATGCCTATCAATCTTATTGATTTGAGTTTCCCCTTTGGAACCATACAGTTCTATTTCTGCTGAAAACAGACTATAAAAATATTTTTAAAATGCTATAGGAAAGTATAAATTTTCAAATATTTAATTCTTATTGAAAAGTGTATGCATACATAAAAAAGCTAATGTAAATGAGGCTGCATTAACTTGGGTTTGCTGTAGCTTCTAACAGCAGCAGTTCCAGTGTACCATTTATAGTTACAAAACAAAACCATGAAAAACATAAATGCCACTTGATTTGACTCACCTGTGGTTTTCTGAGTTTCTAAGGATTTACCCTTGTAAGTATTAAATAAACTGAGTGTTGCATACTTTTTCCCATCCTTTGCTTTTGTGCTCTGGCCTGACTTCTCCGACATTTCGGTGGAAACTCATCGAGTCCAAAACCTCCTGCCACACCCCTTAAAACCAGCCTTTAAGATGCACATAAGAAAGAAAAATAAGCAGAAAATTTTATGATTTATTAGCTGACTCAAAACCCAGTAAATTCAGATGTTCAGAGACATTCTAAAAAATAAAAACACTGAGAAATGAATAAACCAATCATCAATAACTCTTATCAATGATAATTTTATAGACCTCTTTAATATTGTCAAATTCCAATAATCAATACGTGACAAAATTAGTCATCATAAACTAGTATGCATTTGGCAAACATATTATTTATGGTTTATAACTGCTTAACTATATCACAGAGAATAGGGTTATAATCCATACTGAGATGAATAGATCAAATATGGTAAATCTAAGGGCCAGCCCATGGCTCACTTGGGAGGGTGTGGTGCTGATAACACCAAGGCCACGGGTTCGGATCCTATATAGAGATGGCTGGTTAGTTCACTGGCTGAGCGTGGTGCTGACAACACCAAGCCAAGGGTTAAAATCCCTTTACCGGTCATCTTAAAAAAAAAAAAAAAAGGTGAATCTATTCAATTTAATAGGCTTGAAATGATCAGCATGATTGGCTAACACACATGGAATCCAAATATGACAGGTCATCATTCCCCTATAAATTGCATAGCTGTGTTTTTAGGCAGTATGAACCCAACAAAGCTTTATTAACTTAACAATTTAAAACAAAGAACATTCTATTTTTTCTGCATTCTGTAAAGGGCAGAACATTTCCTCATTAACACAAGGCACAAAAAAATAATCTATTTCATGTCTATGGACTAAGTGTTCAAGAAATGGTGTGCATTTTGTCAGAACATATAGAAAGTCCTTTATAAGTGAGAAATTATTAGAAACAAATAGTGTTTTAATGAACATTCATATATAAAACACAGAATCTCCATCTTTGGAGCTAATGTACCCTAATTCTGAAGATGTGCCCTGACCTAAAGCTACGCTATTACTAAATAGGAGAAAAAGACAGAAATTATATCTCATACTATTTCCCTTTAATTTAATAAAGTTGTGTAAACATATCAATCTAAGGGTTTTTTTGTTTTTAATGTGGGTTTTGGGGAGAGTAGGGCAGAAGGTGGCCAATTCTACCATAAAAACCATCAATAGCTGAAGATGGTGGAATAGACGGTCCCCAGAGTCACTCTCTCCCATAAATCAACCAATTTACAACTATAAGAATGTAACATCAGCCAAGCTGGGGCTGCTGGAGCTCAAGGGAAGAGAAGGAGAGACCATTGGAGTTCACGAAAGCAGAAGAAAGCACGATGAGAGAAAGAAAAAACTGCTCTGAGCATTCCGGGCTGCGGCCACTTTAAGGCTCCAGCTGCTGAGCGCATGGAGCAGGAGCTGGCAGAAGCCGCAGCTGTGCCCTTCAGATGGCGTTACTTGAAGGCGGCAGGGGAGAAGAGGGCCTTTGTGGCCCCCAGGACAGCAAGACCACTAATTGGGTTCTTGTGGACCCACACAGGAGCAAGGAGCCAGAACAGCTGAAAAAGGGGAGCCACTCAGAGGCTGGCGAGTCACCGCAAGGGAACAGCGCAGAGCCCGCCCCATGGGAAGTGTTTGGAGCACATGTGGTGGGGAGACAGGCCCACTGGGAGAAAAGTGAGACACAGCAAGGACAGCCGACCTGCCCCCCAATAAGCACAGGACCACTCACAGGAGACTGAATTGCATGGGGTGCAGTTTGATGAAAAAACTCAGGCCCAGATCAGAGTTTCTACACAACCCAGGTGCACTGGATCTCTGGAGAACCAGAAGTACCTATAAGGTCAACCATTAAACCCTAAGCTGAACAAAAAACCTTCCCTTAGGGAAACAGCAGCAAAGCAGCAATCTGCCTTAACCACACAGCTCAAGTACTGGCTCCCAAAGGAAGTTCCCCCATGTTAGGAGTAAGCAAAGGACAAAAAATTAATTCCAGCCGAGGTACACCACCAGTGCCTTGGGGCCCACCAGGGGACATGAGGCAGGGAGCCAGGGACTGGACCCCCACCCACAAGTACTCACACCGCCAGCACCTTGGGGTCTGCCCAAACAAACGAGGTTTGGAGCCAGTGCTTGGGGCCCACCTGGGGGCCTGGGAAAAGCAGCCAGGGAACAGACCCCCCCCCCACCTGCCCACAACCAGACACACCGTGCCA